GCATCTCTGCCTTTTCTCTTATTCTCATGAGCTCTGCTGATTCAAATGGTTTGTTTTGTCAGCCTTTCCCCTGCTCTTAAGCCACATGCCAGAAAAAAGAGGATTGAATTGTCTTTTAAAAATATGTCACCATGGGGCTGGAAAACCCAACATAGTTAGCTGGCAGAATTCCCCCATGCTGGGGAAATCCCTGTGTGGTATAGAGCCGGCAGAGCTAGTTCCTGCATCAGCCACTTCCCAGGTTAGGGGCACGGTCAGAGGGAAGAGGGCAGGGTTAGAGTGACAGGACTGTTTTGTGCCAATGTAGCTTTGGGATTCTTTTCCCTCCTCAGTTCTTGGTCCTGTTGGATTCTGGGAAGTGGGCAGGCATAAAGGGTCCTTCTATCAGCTGATGGGGAGGATCCACTGAGCCCAGGAAACCCAATGAGAACCTGGGACAAATAAAAAGCAAAGAGGGGCAGGCGTGATGGTCGAAGGGCCAAAACAAGGGAACTGGAAGGGGACACCGAATAGAGAGCCCCAGACAGCACCCACTGCTTCTTGAAAGTATCGAGGGAGCCAGCGGACGCTGCCCAGAGGAACTCCGCCTGGATGTGAACAGATAAAAGAACAAAAACGAGCCCCACCGTCACAGGCCCCTCTCTCAGACAGCTTCTGCTCCCTGGTGTTCGGAATGGCCACCTTGGCCATAGCCAGGAGGAGGTGGACAAGGAGGTCCCAGGACTTTGAGGGGCCACAGATGGTGTAAACAAACAGGTGAAGGGGGGAACGGGACGTGCAGCCAGAACTTCAGTAAGAGGTTCCAGAAGAGGGGCTGCATCCCTGGCGCCAGGGCCTCCCTCACACCACAGAACAGACAGGCACCAGGGACAGGGTGACCCGCACTTGGGGCAAGTGGGCACAAACCAGATGTGCCATAGGGGTGAGTTCTTCCCTTATTTATACCCCTGCCAAAACTTGTGAGGAAGCAGAGTGTTATTGAGGGATAAATAGGGACCCCAGTGTTCTGATCTGCCAATAAAGTGGTAACCTCTGACTTGTGGGACTATGGTCGAGGTCAGATTCCTTTTATACCGAGAGCAAGTTGGGGGCTTTATTTTTGGTTACTTTGTTTCCCTCTTTCTGTGAGCTCCCACCAGCTGCAGGCAGAGTGTAGATTGTGATCTTGAGCTCTGGGGCTTTTATCTGTATTGCTCAAACATACTGGGAGAAAGTGTGTGTCTGTGTCTGTTCGGTCCTTCCTAAACTGAGCCAGGAGAGACTGGCCGGGGATCTGGAAATTGCATGGGCTCCATGGGCACTGGCTAGGGTTACTAGATACTTTCACAAAAATCCTGAACATGGGGGGGGAAGGGGGAGAGGGGGGAGGGATGCGGACGGAAGACCAAACTTGTTGAGAAAAAAAAAAAAAAAAAGTGGTAGCTGCGCCTTTGAATTCCTATGCTCCCCACTCCCCCTCCCCCCACCAGATGTGGTAGGGGGAAAATGTTCCCGCCGGCCTTCCGTCTGAGAAAAACAGAAAATACCAGACATTTTTACATGTCCGGTATTTTCTGTTTTTTTTTTTTTTAAACTGGACAGAAGACGCAATTACCGGACTGTCCGGGCAAAAACCGGACACCTGGCAACCCTATCACTGGCTCACTGAGGCTCTTCCTGATAGTATAAGAATTAACAGCAGGGCCGTGAATGGAGGATCTCAGTTCTGAGTCAGGATTGTAAACACCAGCCCCTGCTGACTGTAATACATTTGCTCCAGTGGGAGCAGAATTTAATCCGGGGTGCAGAGCCAGTTTTGGCAAGGATTAGCTACCTAAGGATGCACGCTTCCTTTCAAAGTATACAGAGTAAGCTGCTGAGGGCTTGATGCCCACAGAAAGTCAGAGCTGCATAACGGGCACCTACAACAAAAGGAAAGCAAGGGTTCGGTCAGCTGCAGATCGGCTGGTGGCAGGCAATTCATGGCCTCTATGCTGCTTGACAACAGGCCTGCTGTTTTTGTGGCTATTTCCTCCTTTCACAGAGGTTAGCTTATCTGCAAACTGCAGGTGTTCCTTCTATCAAATAATGCAGTGCATGGACCTATCCTCAGACTGGCCAGCAGGTATATGCTTCTTAAAAGAGAAATGTTCCCTCTTAGCTTCCACTGGGGGTGCTGTTCTGTAGCCAATATGACCGACACACATCTTGGCAAAGGATCCCCCATTCTTTTCAGGCAACTCTCACTTCAGACTTGAAATATTCATTACACCAAACGCCTGCCTCAGTTTCCCCCTTATATAGCCCATGCAAAAGAAAACGGCCTTTCTTAACAGCTCACGCGGCCAATTTCAGACATGCAAAGTACCACGGTCTGCAGACTTCTCCTAATCAAAACAGGGCCTTCCAAAGTCAAACAAGGTGGCAACACGGCAGCTTTTCAATCCCATTCCAAGGTCATGTTACAAGGTCACTGACACAAAAGTCATTAGCCACTCTGGTCTTTGTTCCAGGACCCCATGCTCCATATCATCTACCTGAGAGCTCCAAGACCACAAGTCACCTCTCCCTCAGTAGGACTCCCTGCAGTGTTTCTCTCCCAAGGCCTCCCTACTTGCAGGGCCTCCCTCCCCTGTCGACCACTTGCTGCCGGGCTTGGCTCTTTACTGAGTAGCCTGGTTCTTCACATGCTCTAGAGGCCCCTTCCAAAACTTTCCTGCAACTCGGCAGGCTCTCCAGTTCTAGCCCAGAACTTTAACAGACTTCCTCAAACTTCCAGTAGCTCACAGTGATGGCTTTCTTCTTCTGGCTCCCTGCAGCTCTTTTCCTTGAGTAACTCCGCTGCTCCTTCTGTCTCTCCTCCATTCTCAGACTGCTCACACCTGACCTGGCCTGGCCTTTCCTTACTCCTTCTCAGACTCAGACACCTGGGCAGCAGCTGGTGAGTCACAAAGGCACCACATCCCACTCCCTCTTAAAGGGGCCAGCCACTCGTGGACATGGTTTTTAAACAGAATTTATGTTTTTTTGCAGTGCAGGTAAATGGAAGCAGGATTTGGGGAGCCCATGGTCCCAGCACATGGAGGGATGGGGATTTGGGGTCAGGGCATTTGGGGAGCTGATAGATATAGGTCCGGAGTGCTGTCAGTGCAGAGGGCAGTTTTATGTTGCCTGCGCTCACAGCTAAAGCAGGACAGGATCCATTTCCTAGAGTAGACAGGGCCGCAGGGAGCAGCGACGGTGCTGGCTAGAATGTGGCTTCATATAGCCCATTCCCTGGGTGATCACTCAGAAGCGGGTCACAGTATCATCACCACCATTTGCAGATGGGGAAACTGAGGCACAGGAAGGGGAGTGATGTATCCCGGGACACTTAACCAGCTGAAACCAAAGCTATTGTGTCCAGTCCTGGGCCCCCCACTATGGAAAGGATGTGGACGCATTGGAAAGGGGCCAGCGGAGGGGGACCAAAATGATTAGGGGGCTGGAGCACATGATCTATGAGAAGAGACTGAGGGATTTGGGTTTGTTTAGTCTGCAGAAGAGAAGCGTGAGAGGGGATTGGATAGCAGCCTTCAACTTCCTCAAGGGAGGTTCCAAGGAGGATGGAGAGAGGCTGTTCACAGAAGTGACGGATGGCAGAACAAGGAGCAATAGTCTTAAATTACAGTGGGAGAGGTTAGGTTGGATATTAGGAAAAACTATTTCACTAGGAGGGTGGTAAAGCACTGGAATGGGTTCCCTAGGGAGGTGTTAGAATCACCATCCTTAGAGGTGTTTAAGTCTCGGCTTGACAAAGCCCTGGCTGGGTTGATTTAGTTGAGATTGGTCCTGCCTTGGGCAGGGGGCTGGACCTAATGACCTCCTGAGGTCTCTTCCAACTCTGTGATTCTAAAGCTGGGAACAGACCCTGGATCTCTGCACGAGTCTGCTACCCTAACCACTAGACTACCTGGCCTTCTAGAACACCGGGGGTTTTAGGCCATTCTGGTGTAAATACGGGGAAGAATGTTTAGTCTAGAATAGGCAAGCTCCAGTGACAGTTAAGTCATTTAACCTGCACTTTTCTTTCTCTTTAGCTGATCTCTTCCTAAGTAACTCTGACCCTCCAAAAGTGGCACTCACTTGTCCTTCAGTCTGCTTGTGTTTTATACCCTTCCCACACCCCTGGTCTCTCTTGTCTCTTTAGATTGTAAGCTCTTTGGGGCAGGAACTCTCTGGTTGTTCAGAATCTTGCACAATGGGACCCCATTCTTGACTGACTCTTAGGCACTGCCATAATAAACATCATAAGATATATTTCTTAAAGTTGTCACCTTGGCTACCACTTTCTGGCCCCGGGGCAGCACGGGAAAAATTGATGCTGGTCGGTTGCAGCATCACGATGTTATAGTGCAAATAAGGAGCATATGGCAGTTTAAGTGATGATCAGGAGGTTCGAGTTTCAGCTACTCCTTGCATGTCTGCTTGCATCAGCTGGGTGGGAATCTACTTGGTGTTCCCCATGAAACACATATCTGGGACAAATTTGGCTCATCCGTTTGGTGTGTACAATAAAATGAGTTGAAAATAACATCTTGGAAGCTGTTGTTCTCTAGTAGCTTTGGGGTGGGATGAGTGGAGAATTGGAAATGCGCCTTTGCAGCTTGCATGATGAGAGTGTGTAATATATTGTGCTCTGTTGATCTGGATTTCTGAACATCCCGAAAGCTCGGGGCTTTTGGCACTAGAGGTTTGGCTCAGCTCACTATAAAGAGTTGAATTTAGGTTCCAAATACCCTTAAAGTTTGAGACTGTTCAGACCTAAATCTAGATTTTGGGAAGTGGGTAGTGATCGTAGATGCTCAACTTGAGACTCCTTAAAAGGGCCTTATTTCAAATTGGTCCTCCAAAGACAGAGGCACCCTAATCAGTGTTCCCTGGAGAGAGTCAAATGCAGTCCAACTGATTAGCAGAGCACCCACAGCTGGCAACAGTCAGCAGCAGGTGTGTCTTCTGGTGGTGCACATCCACACATGCTTTGGTGCACATAACAAAATTTATTCCACACGTGAATGGAAAACCCGAGAGGGAGCATTTCCCATAATCATTAGACACTTTGGCAGTCTTGGCCTTGGTGTTTACTTGGAACTCCATCTCTAAGTACAGCAGTGCTGGTCTCCCTCAGGGCTCATCTACACTCGGAGTGGGGCACGTGAATCACAGCTTAAGGAGACGTACTTGCTCTAAATAGACAAGGGGCTTCTGTAAGCAGGGAACACCCAAGCACACCAGCATCTCACACTTTCCCTTCTGTAAGAAAACAAAATAAATCCAGCCTGAGACAAACCAACCCAACAACAGCAAAATGACTTACCAGAAAAATACCCTCCCCAGCCTGCGTGTGTCAGGACTAGTTAGTATCTTTGCTGCTCTGCGCATTGGGAAAGAACGGGCTTGCATGCTGAAGAAATGCCAGAATGTTCACTCAGCAAAGCATAGCTTGATTGCAGAGCCTGTCTCAGGTGCCCATGAGCCATGCCTGTCACAGGAGAATATGGCAATTTATAGAAACAAACACGTTCTGCTGCTTAGCTTGGTAGAGGCGTTTTCTCCCTCGTTTCACCTCATATTTGGCTGCCTTCTGTCCTCATTTATCATGTAAAAAAGAAATGAAATCAGCCCTCGGAAGAGTGAGAAGGCAGGTGCTGGTTCAACTTCGGATCGCATGTCTGCTGGAGCAAATCTGGAGTGAGTCCTATGAAATTCAATGGCGTCACACCGGGGTCAGAATGAGGGTACTTTTACACTGCCAGCAGCCAGCTCAAGGAGACCTACTTGTGCTAGCTCGAGACGAACTAGCATGCTAAAGTTATGTGACAGCACGAGGGATGGGATGGGCTAGCCATTTGAGAGGCTAGGCATGTAACAGCAATTAGGGATGTGAAAGGTTAACTGGTAAGCATCACCCTTAGTGGGTGATGTTTACCAGTTCCGGTTAACTGGTGGGGGCTGGAGCAACTCCCCACCCACCACAATGTTCCCTCAAATCTTTTCCATCCACGTGCGGAGTTTTTCCATCCATGTGCGGAATATTTTTTTTCTGTGCACTGAGGCATGTACAAACGTGCACCACCAAGAGAAGCACACACCTAGCAGTGGATGCTTTGCTAATCGGCTGGGTAGCAGTTGACTTTCTCCTGAGCAGCCGCACAAGCGCACAACTTGCAGGGAACACAGCACCATGGACAGGGGGCTGCTCCAGCCCCACAGGTCCCAACACAGACAGGAGCTGCTCTGACCATCTGGAGCAGCCCCTGTCCATAGCAAACTTGTGTGTGTTGCAGGCAGGGGCTGCTCTGACAACCTGGAGCAGCCCCTGTCCACGGCAAGTCTGGATACATTGCATGCACTGCTGGACTTCAGCAGCCCCCCCGCCTGCCTCCCCTTTAATCAGTTAACCAGTTAAACTTCACGTTTTAACCAGTTCACCAGTTAAATGGGATTTTACATCCCTAACAATAACACGCTTTGTGCTGTGTGTGCAGTGTAAGCACTTAGATACACAGATAGGTAGATGCTGCTTCTAAGTGTCTAGCTACCATAATGCTTTGATTTTAAACGCCATTTATAGATGTAGTGATGCAGCAATCCCTATTTGGGCAAAACACCCTGGCTGTGCTCTTGCAGTCCCTTCTCACTCAAAACTCCCAGGAGATCAGCAGAAGCTCTGAGTGCTTTGCTATTGGGGAACAGAGCCCTAATTGTTCAGCTGTAACCGGAGTCAATCTGATTAGACTCCAAGGTGGTCACCCTGTTAGCTTGTGTCAGCAAAAACAACGAGGAGTCCTGTGGCACTTTAAAGACTAACCCAGCCTATGAAAGCCGATGCCCAAATAAAAGTGTTAGTCTTTCAGGTGCCACAGGGATCCTTGTCTTTTTTCTAATTAGACTAAATCGCACAGGGTTGTGAAAAATCACACAGGGTTCTGTAGACAGGGCTAGGCTGATGGAAGGATGCTTCTGTTGACCTAAAGACAGAAGTATGTAGCACTTTAAAGACTAACAGGATGGTTTATTCATCACCTAATAAACCATCTTGTTAGTCTTTAAAGCGCTACATACTTCTGTCTTTTGTTTCAGCTCGACCAGACTAACACGGCTGCATCTCTGTCACTATTCTGTTGACCTAGCCACTGCCTCTTGAAGAGATGAATTAGCTACCACCACAGGAAAAAAGCTTCATTCAATGCAGAGAGCACCTACAACTAGGGATGTGAATGGTTAACCAGTAAGCATTACCGTTACTGGGTGATGCTTACTGGTTATGGTTAACTGGCAGCCCAGCCAGAGAAGCCCCCTGCCCCCCCCCCCTCCACAGCCATTTAATCAGTTAACCGGTTAAACATAACATTTGACTGGTTAAACGGGATTTTTAACTACAGCCTGCCCATTTAGTAGCTTGCTGCTGGAGCTGCTGTAGTATAGACATCCCCCTCGCTCCCTCCCTCTCTTCTAAACTTTGCAGGTCATTGGATGGGCATGTTCCCCTAGCCAGCATTTCTCAGCATGGCAGGGAGAGCTGTCGGCAGCGTGATGTCTTAGGTTTGCCCTGGCACAGCACTCTCCAGTTCAGCTTGCCGAAGGAGAAGTGGCAGAGCAGCCCGTGCAGACTAACCTTTGGCTTCCTGCTTCCTTCATGAGATGGAGGTAGGTCTTGGCCAAGGTTGATCTTACAGTAACATCACGGGAAGGACCGTGGTGACATGGCTTTCTAGGGGCGGTGAGTAGTTCCGTTTCTAATGCTTGCTGAAGGACTGAGACAGGCTCCTATGAATAAATAAAATCGGCTGGTATGTTAGATTTCAGAGCAGCTGGGCGTGTGCAGGAAGCTCTGATTTCAACTGAAATCCTCTTTGAATTAAATAAAAGAAATATTCTCAGGCTGGTGAATTGGGGGAGGGATCTGCTACGATCTAATTTGTTAACTTTTCCTCCACCGCCTGCTCTTTACGCAAGGCAATGCTGTGGTCATTCGCAGTCAGAGCACAAGAAGGAAGGCAGAGTGGTCAGGGAGGAGAGGATGAGGGTCTGGACATTTTGGACTCTGTTCCTGGCTATGGAAGGAGAGTGGTTTACAGCAGTGAGGAACTGGGAGTCGGGAGTGGGTTCTGCACTCTGCTCTGTGAGTTGAATCTGGCATCAATGGTTAGAGCAATCGGGACTGCAGGTCGGGTCCAGTGTTCCCTGGAAGCTGAGCACTTGTGCGGCCACTCAGGAGAGATTCAGATGCCATCCAGTGGATTAGCAAGGGGCCTCAGCTAGGTTTTTTGTGTCTACTGGTGGTGCACATTCACACATGGCTCAGTGCACATAAAAATTATGGATGGAAAAGATTAGAGGGAATATTGGTCAGGACTCCTGGGTTTTATTCACTGTTCCAGTCCTTTGTCCTTGGCAAACTTCTGTGCCTCAGGGCACCTGTCTATGAAACAGGGCTAATTATAATGACCTAACTCATAAGGTTATTACAAGTTCCATTTATGTATGTGAAGTGCTTTGAGATCCTCAGATGAGAAGCGCTATGGAGAAGTGAAGTAGCTTTGACTATAGGAAATGCAGGTTGTAGCAACAATAATTCTTGCATTCTTGGAGGTTTCAGAGGCAAGGGGAGGCAGGGCCTCCCCTGGGTCTTTGTGCTCAACCCTTCCCCTAGTCTGACCATTCCCGAAGGCACCCACAGCAGGGTATTGCAGCTTGCAGAATAGTGACTCCCTCCCTTCACCCTAAGATCTACAGGACCGTAGTTTCAAATTTGCTTTAAATATTTCATTAGTTTGTTGCTGAATCGCATCTCTAAAAAAATCCATCCATAAATATTTAGAGGCACAATCTGAGTATTCAGCTGTAGCCATCAATGCATAGATCTCCAGACAGAGTTTTTAAAATGAATTTGTCAAAAGACCACCCTTATCTAAAATACTCATTTTAATGTTTATTACTGTAGTACAAAAACCTGCTTCCAAAGTCTTCCTGTCCTTTTGGTCATCCCTGCTCCCCACCCACCTCCACCCTCGTCCCCATTTGAGAGCACCCTTAAAGGGACAGCATTCCTTTTCTTCCAGATAGCTGTACAAATTAGCTTCTACTTCTATTTAATTAAAAATTTTTAAGAGAACCTTCTACCAAAATCAGTAGCTTACTAAGATATACAATTATTTAATATGCCTAAAATCTTTGGAATCATATTTTAAGATAAACATATAGTGAAATTCCATAAACATGTCTTGTTATGAAAATCACAAAATAAATTAGTGTTCCCTTTTTCTAAAAGCAGTGAACTTTGTTATGCACACACTAAACTGCTCTGACTGATTAGTTTAAAATAATGTCTCTGTTTCGCTGAATTTAAATATCTAGTCATCCGGAATGATTAATTGATGAAGGCTTAAAAGCATGTTTAAAATATAAGATCAGATTAGAAATAATGATGAAGAAAATGTAGAACAGAGAAGAGCTGCATCATGTAGTCCGTAATATTTAATGATGTATTCAGCAAGACAACTGATTTCCCCTTACTAAAAAATGTATGCAAATAAATTTCTGACAAACTTCAGGGTATAGCAAAAAACCTGTGACTGTCATTTTTTAATCCCAAATTTAGTGCTTTTAGTTAAGTACCTTCTGCAGGTCCAGTCTTCACAATCTGGCATGCAGTGGAGAACATACTCCATTGTCTTTAGAAAGAATTTTTAGAAGAGTGTTTTTCCGCATCTCATTTGCTACTTTTCGGTTCAGGGATTTGGCTGCAATGGGTGAGCAGAGAAAAGAGGGAGACAGTGGGGGAAGGGGTCTGGTAGTGGGGAGAGGGAGGGCCTGAGCAGAGCAGGTACAGAGTATGGGTGGGGCCACGGGCCAGGGATCTTGCCTCCCCAACCAGCAGCTTCACCCACTGCCCTTGCACACTAGGTAGGACCCCATGGTACCACGTTATATTACTTCAGTGGTATAAGGCATTGCAGTGCACTGGATTGGAATGGTGGCCACTTTACGCTCCACTGTGCACAGGTATCCATCACGACCAAACCTGTGGAGGTAATTTAGTTGCTTGCCCATTTATTAAAGCATTTTATAGACTATTCATAAAGGCACCCTGTGTGTACTGTGGGACCCAAACCACTGTACCAGGGAGGTGGCAGGACAGGGCAGCACAAAATCCGGGGGAGTTCCCCATTCTTTGGAGAGCTTTCTTAAGATGCCCAAACAGCAATCTACACAAGCTCCATCCTGCTGGCGTGCAAACTGCAGGAACATTGTAACAGCCATAGTAAATCAACCCTGTGTGACATTGCTCCTGCCGCGCACGGCCTATAAGGGAATGTTTGCTCAGCTTATTAGACTGAGCCTTGTGCAGAACGCAGTTCCCTAGGTTCAAACTGTGTTTCTCAAAATCATTTTTCCTCCTTCCTATCACATACACACCAGAGGAACACCAGCCCCCAACCCATTCATTAGAAAGGAAAGGATGGGAAACAAATGGCAGTTTAATTCTGCTTTGACTTAGGAAAAGCTTTCCTCGTGTATGGGAAATGTGGCTTTCATTAATCCCTCTGTTAAAGCTACTGTGCCGTCATTTGGGTTGGCTGGGATTTAAATGGGCTTGCTTGTTAATGCTGCTGAAAGCTGTCCTGGCCTTTTTGCTTAGCAAACAAGAACCAGGTTGGTTTTCCCGCTGTGTGTCCGAGAAAGAGCAGAGCTTTCACCTGAGAGGGGCTGGGTCGACAATCCCAAAGACCAAAGTCCCCTGGCCTCAGGACTAGTTGCGACATGGGTGGAAGCAGGCCAGGTTATCCCCTGGGTCCTCCTGCTGGGGTGTTTTAGTCCTGCCCAGAAGAAGCCCTCTTGAGACAGAAGACTTCAGCATCCAGCCCCATCTATGTCACTGCCTACTGAGATCAGCGGAGCAAACAGCCTCTTTGGGCCCCTAAACTAGGTGGGAGGAGCCCCAGCTCTGCACTCCTGTAAGGGGCAGGGCCAAGGGCAGAAGGGGTAGAGCCAAAGGCAGCCAGCCCTCAGCATTGCCTGGAGCATGGTGTAGCCCCCCTTTGAATCACCAGGCCCTGGGGCAACTGTCCTCTTCGTCCCCTCATCGGTGGGCCTGGCTGAGTCTGCCAGCAGTGGGGTCTGCTAGCGCTGATGGTAGGCCCTGAACAGTGAGATGTCACATGTCCTCCACTCCCATTGACTCCTAGGGATGTCAAATCCCTTGTAATAGTTACTGGCTACACATGAAGTTTATTTAACCTGTTAAGCAATTACAGGGGGGAGCACCCCTCTTCTTCCCCCGGGTGACTGGGCTGGAGCAGCCCCTGCCTGCAACCCTTCCCTGGGACCACCACGGACAGGGGTTGCTCCAGACGGAGGACAGGGAGCTGCTCCAAGTTAACCTTTCATATCTCTATTGACTCCAGCTGGTGCCGAGGGCACTCAGGGTGGGCTCGTCTATCAGCGCTGGCCCCCAACATTTTGGCACCGGAGGCGGGGAGCTCAAATGATGCCCCCACATCCCCTCGCTTGGGCCAAAACGTTGAAAGGTCTCAATTCTGCCTCCTTCCTGTTCTACTCCTCTCATGGGACTGTGCATCTAGCAGTGTTGTCTTCAAGTCGTCATTGTCAAGTCCAAGTCGAGTCTCAAGTCACTACAGTGCAAGTCTCAAGTCGAGTCTTGAGTCCCTAAAGTCACTTTCGAGTCAAGTCCCAAGTCGAGTCTCAAGTCTTAATTTAAAAAATGTCAAGTCACTTTTGTACAAGCCACCAATATCGGCCTTTTCAGACAATTTTTTCACCAAGTTGATTTAACAAAATTAGCAAGTCTCAAGTCGAGTCTCAAGTCGAGTCTCAAGTCACAAACAATGAACCTGAGTCGAGTCTCGAGTGGAGTCACCTTGGCGACTTAAGTCAGACTCGAGTTCAAGTCGTGGGACTCGAGTCAACAACTCTGGCATCTAGAGCAGAGAGAATACATATGCACCAGCAGCAGACACAATTTTCTACACGCTGGGTCCTAGTGGTGCCCCCCCCTCCACACTCTGGCACCTGAGGCGGCCGCCTCAGTTCACCTCATGGTAAGGCCAGCCCTGTCATCTGTACTACACAGAGGGTCAACGCTGCTGCAGTCAATCTTCGTGCTGATACTCCCGCTCCTCACGAGGAGTAAGGGAAGCCCACAGGAGTGTTTGCTCCCGTCAGCCTCCCGCTGGTTGGATGGTGCAGAAACTGGAAGGTGTTTTGATCCTACCACCATGAACACGGAAACGATCTAGAATGGAACAGAACCAACAGAGAGCACCAAACAAAGTAATCGAGATACTCAGGTGTCAGTCAAATAGTCCCAAAAGTTGGGCACTGCACTAGAAATGGTCTGATTTTTTCAGCGTCGCTGACCTCCACAGCTTCTTGACGGGCGTTGGGTCAAGCTGTTGAGGCAAATCAGATGTAAAAGGAGAACATTTGTCATAGGCTGAACATGAAAAACAATGCAGCTCCCCAGGCGTGGCTGAGCATTATGATTTTAAAACAGCTTTGCCCTGAAATGCTTGTCCTGCAGCAGTTTTATTATTCCGTTTAGTCTGATTACATCGCAGGAGGCATTTTCCTCTTGCACTCTCACCCATTGCGGGTGTCTGCAAACCCGCTTTCCAGAGGAGAACAATATTGTCTCCCAGAGCACAGGCCCTGCCCTCGGGTCTCAGGTTCTTGCGGAGAACTTGGAAGCCAGAGATGGAGTTGTTAGTGTGGTTTAGAGGAAATCCTGTCATGTGTTTGCACAT